TTACTGCTTTTATTTATGTATTATCATTTCTTTTTCCATGTCTAGCTGAATTATCGTAATCGATGTGTAATAATAATTTGGATGGGATTTGATAATAATTGGCATAATCTTTCTCTTTTCAAAACCCAGTTATGGTTTTAGTTTTTAATCAAAAATTCTAAATAAACCTTTGTCACGACAGTGAGAAGCTATTTATGGTGGTTTTGCCACGACAGTGGGAAACCATATTAAGATACGAACCAACAAGCGACAGCTGCGGCTAAGACCAGATAGTAAAAACTAGGCCTTCGATTTAAAAACAGCGAAAGCGCTTTAAAAAGGATTAGAACTTAGAGATTTTCAAAAGGTAACTTTAACCCCGAACGGGATAGCGACAACATACGTTCCGCCTTAGAGTTGCGACTAGCGTCAACAACCATCGTGAGACAAAAGTCTTTAGATCACTATTTTCTTCTTAAACTAAGTTTGAAAACACTTAATACGCCAGTAAATTGTCAAATCCCTGAAGAACAAAATTATTGCATATCGATTCATAAATTCATATCTTAAGTAAAAGCTTTAGTTCCCTTTAGTTTATGCATCTATTATACCATTATTCAAATTGAAACCAAACCGACCTAGCTAAACACCGTAACACCCGATAATACTAGATTGATTACGAGTCCCTGTGGGATCGATATTTATTATTACTACGCGATAGACTGTGTACTTGCAGTTAGATTTGTTAGACATAGAAAGTCACGATCAATACAAACCTAAAGTGACAGTTATGTAGGAGGCTAAAGAGTTAAACACATTAAGTCTTGAAAGTCTTATAAGTAATCTTCAGAGTCATAAGATGGATCCCATTCAAGATGAACCTGTTAGAAAGTCAAAGCCTCTAGTTTTGAAATCTGTTGCTAAAACTATTAAGGTTCCTCAAGTCTGGGAGTAGAAATAAATTTCTCTTGCAGAAGGTTCTGAAGATGACTCAGATAATGAGGAAATAACCTTCATCATTAAAAGGTCTTAGTATCTGGCCAAGAAGAACAATATATTCTCTAGCAAACTGTAGTGACTTCAGAGGATCTGGCTCCAGATAAAAGAAAGCTGATCAGAAATGATGCTTCAACTACAAGAAGCATAGTCACTTAGTTGCTGAATGTCCTGAACTACAAAAGGACAAGCAAAAGAAAGGAAGCTTTCAAAAATATAGCTTCAAGAATAGATTCAAGAAATGTCTCATGGAAACATGAGATCAACTTGACAATGAAGAAGACTCTAAATATGATGAAGAGCAAGCCAACCTTGCCTTGATGGATCTTACATCTTTTAAACTAGAACTTGACTCAGATTCTGGTTCAGAGTCTGAGGAATAGGATGATGTATTTTTCAAACCATATCGTTCTGATTTAATTACTTTCATTCAAAATCTCATGGGAAAGTGACAAGAAAAATCTAGACACGTGAAAATATTGAAAAAGGAATATGATCTTTTGAAAGAAGAATTAAATTATGTTCAAAATAAAAATGAAGCTCTAGAGAAGGATCATATTACTTTAGTAAAGAGAGTCTTTAATAAACCTCTTGATGAGCATGAAATGATCTTCAAGAATTAATCATAAATGGCTTCAATAGAAATAAACTTGCTTCTATGATTTATGGAGTAAGTAGAAGCAAATGGAAAGGTCTTGGTTACTCACAAATATATTTTAATCCAAGGTTTGAGACCTTGAGTAAACCAAAAAATCCTTCTTCTTCAATATTTGCTCAGAAAGGGCTTAACTCTTATTTTGTACCTACTACTGAAAATAAAAAGGTTCTAAATCAATCAGAACATAAAGCTACTGAGTCAAAGGTTATGAAGAAATGAGAGCCTAAGACTCTAAAGTCAAAGGTTCTGAAGAAGCCATAACCTAAGATAGCAGGAGCTAAGGTTCTGAAAGGTCCAGAACCTAAGGTCAAGATTCATTCAAGACAACAAAATTTTAAATTAAAAGTCTTGAATAACCCTAAACCTTATCATATGAAAGAAAAGGTGCAAAATAAGAAGAAACCTGTCAGAACTAGCCTTAAAGGACCCATAAGATTATGGGTACCTAATTCTCAAATTGTCTTTGCTACATATATGCTTCAAGGGAGGGGGAAAACATTAGTTATGGTACCTGAACAGTGGATGCTCATGACATATGACAGGAGAAAGGCTTATGTTCCAAATCCTATTTCTAAAAGAGGGAGGAACTGTGGGGTTTAGAGGAAACCAGAAAGGAAAGGTCGGTGGTATGAGTATTATTGGTAACTTATCTATTTCAATTAATAATGTTTGGCTTGTAGATGGACTTAAACATAACCTACTGAGCATTAGTTAATTTTGTGACAGTACTTATGAAGTCATGTATAATAAGAATAACTTCATAGTCATGAATGAATTTGACAAGTCCGTAGTGTTCAAAGGTAAGAGAAAGGATAATGTTTATAAAATTAATTTTTCTCAATTGGTTGTTCAGAAGGTTATGTGCCTTCTATCAGTGAGTGATGAGAACTGGATCTGGCACAGAAGGTTAGGTCATGCTAACTGGACATTGATCCTTAAACTTAGCAAGTTGAAACTTATTAAAGGATTGCCAGATCTTAATTATCACTCAGATGCTCTTTGGGGAGCATGCCAAGTAGGGAAAAGTAGTAAAACTTCTTTATTATCTCTACCTTTAAACCCTTAGAACTGCTTCACATTAATTTGTCTGGTCCTGTTAGTACTGCATCTATCAATAGGAAGAAATATGGTTTAGTAATTGTTGATGACTATATCAAATAGACTTGGGTTAACTTCCTTAGAGCCAAGGATGAATCATCTAATGTGTTCATCATCTTATGTATACAAGTACAAATTGAAAGGAATTAAATTTTTTAAAACTAAGAAGTGATCATGGTGGTGAATTTGAAAATGAGCAATTTGAACTTTTTTTGTGAAAAACATGGAATTCTCCATGAGGTCTCTTCTCCTAAAACTCCACAGCAAAATGAAGTTGTGGAGAGAAAGAACAAATCTTTATAAGAAATGGCCATAATCATGATTCATGAAAACAACTTATCCAAGTACTCATGGGTAGAAGCTGTGAGCACATCATGTTATGCTCAGAATAAAATCTATATTAGACATATTCTAAACAAGACATCATATGGGCTGTTCAAAGTAAGAAAGCAAATCATTTCTTATTTTCATCAGTTTGGATGTACATGTTGCATACTAAACAATAAAGTCTATTTGAAGAAATTTGATACTAAAGCTCAGAAGGGTATTTTTTTAGAATACTCTGAACGATCTAAGGCATACAAAGTGTGTAACTCTGAAACCAATATGGTTGAAGAATCAACACACATAAAATTTGATGACAAAGATCCTGACAAAAAAATGCCAGAGGTAGTTCAAATTTTTTCAAAAACCTGTGTATCTGAAGACACATTAAGAGCTAGAGTTCCAGAAGATGGAAGTTCAGTAGATAAAAATCCATTAAAAGCCTAATGCTCATAAACTATCAGAACTTCAGAAGGTATAATAAGGTGTGGAGATATCCATCACATTAGTATAAAGAGTAATTGGGTGGCCCAACAAACCATTCAACATAATAATAAGGTGTGGAGATTTTGACCTGACACCCAGTTATACCTGACACCCCTGATTATGTACAATTTTACTAAAATATTTCTAATAAAAATTTAAGTTTTTTTTTAAAATTGGTGATTTTTCAAATTTTTATTTATTAATATATCGATTTTTACAAAATTCTTGGTTTATGGATTTTTTTCCCGGAATTTTTGAATACTTATTAGATTTCAAAAAGTCGATATAAAATATATATTTTATACCTCTTTATTAAAAACAGGTGTAAAATCATAATGTTTTTTTACAAAACTAAAATTTTATAACTTTTTTTTTTAAAAATCCAATATAAATTCATTTTTTTAATATCGAATTTTTCACGAATTCAATATGCATACATATTTTATAAGCATAAAGTATGGTTTTATATTGACTTTTTAGATATTAAAAAAATACGAAGGAAAAAAAAAGAAAAAATCTGATATTGTTAACTTTTCGAAGATGTTTCGGAAATCAACCTAAGAGCATCTCCAACCGTGAACCCATTTTTGGGTTCCTTGTGGGACCTATTAAGCCACGTCAGCTTGAAACAACTCATTCAATTTTTTACTCTAATGGTATAACTCTGAAGAACTCATATTGAGTCCCACAACTTTACTTTATATATTAATATATTATTCATATTAAATTTATATTAATTAAAATAATAATTTTAATTATTTAAATTAAAATTGATATAAAATAAATAAAATTCAAATTAAACTTATAATCTAAAATGATAATTAAAATTAATATCAAATACATGCTATATAATTAAAAACAATAAAAATAAATAACATCACATAATTAATCAAATTTAAATTTCATCATCTTGATGTCCAAAACGTTCCCAAATATACTCGACTAGATCTCCTTGAAGTTGACGATGAACTTGTTTTTCATGAATACTTGCTCTTCTTTGTAGTCTTGTTGCAAGATTCGGATGAGGACCGCTAAATGTTTCAGTTGTTGAGTTGTTGATATCCACATTATCATAAGAGTAATCAAAGTTACCTCCATATGTATGTCGTTCGTCTTCCACAATCATATTGTGCAATATGATGCAGGCATATATAGTATGCTTGATGGTGTCCATGTGCCAGGCACGCGCTGGGCCACGTATAATTGCAAATCACGATTGAAGTACTCCAAATGCTCGCTCCACATCTTTTCTAGCCGATTCTTGATGTTGAGCAATTTTTTTTTCTTTTCTCCCTGTGGCATTGAAATGGTCTTGACAAATGTAGCCCACTCAGGATATATACCATATGCTAAATAATATCCCATATTATATGGTGTCCCATTGATTGTATATTGCACATTGGGAGCACGTCCTTCCAAAATATCGTTAAACACGTTGGATTGGTTTAACACATTAATGTCATTGTTGTAAAAGATGTTCAACATCAGTGTTGTTAGGTTTTCTCAAATATTCAGCCTCAAATACAACATTCACGCCCTTAACAAAACTTTGTAAGCACTCAGTTGAAGTGCTTTCACCGATTCGAACATATTCGTCTACAACATCAACAGGAGACCCATACGCCAGCATACGAATAGCAACTGTACATTTCTGCAATGATGAAAGACCCATTTTACCAATTGCATCGATCCTCATTTGGAAATATTCATCATAATTGTCAATGGCATCTACAATTCGAAGAAATACATGCCTATGCATTCTGAACCTTCTTCGGAATTGAACATCTGTGTATACTGGGTTTTTTGAGAAGTAGTCATTGAATAATCGATTGTGCCTTTCTTCGCGACCTCGATCTATAGTTGTTCTTCTCTTTCGCCTAGAAGAACTCCCAGAATTCTGAAGCTGTTGTTCTTCATCACCGTCGTCCATAAATTCTTCTTCAACCAACGCCCAAAATTCTTGATCGTTATTATCTGAATTGTCTGAATCCATTGTAGTTGGTAAAGAATGAGAGAAAAATGAGAGATATGTGATAAATATGAGAATGATAAAATAATGACATAAGTGGTAGTATATATAATGGTTTGAATAACGACTAGTTTGAATAACGGTTAGTTTGAATGACAACTAGTTTGAATAACGGCTAGTTTAATTTAAAGTGGTACTAATGACCATTTTACATATGTGTTGATAAAATAAAGTGGTACTAATGATCATTTTACATAAGTGATATTAACTACATTCCCTATTTTTTTCATCTTATTACAATATTTTTCATGAATATCTCGTTGACTATTGCTCATAGTAGAAGTGTTCTTCATCATGATTTGTATTACCTTTAATTCTATCACATCCTCCTTACATTGTACAAGTCTTTCCATGCATTCTGCTATTTTATTCCTTGCATCTTGCGTTGCATTTGGAATTTCCGATGCCTTACCCTTCCTTTTTGCTGCTTTTTGTCCCATTGGACGCTCCATTAGTGATGATGAGTTAAACTCATAACTTGAAGTTGTATCTGGATTCTCCGATGATGCCCTACTAGCAGAAGTATTTGTTATTTTTGAAGAACTTCCAATCGATTCTCCGACGATGCACCATTTAGCTTCATCTTTTAACAATCGCCATGCGTACTCAAGATTGAATGTTGTACCTTGATCCTGAGCAAAAAAAGCATGTGCATCTGACATGATATCCAACTCTGATGTCCCATTTTTCTTTCCTTTAACAACATTTTTGTAACACCCAATTTTTTTTGAACCATGCCATTTATTCGATGCCATCGACATTTTAATTGTCCCCCTGACTTTTTCCGCGATTGCCCACGATATTGGTTATAACTAGCAGCGATTCTTAACCAAAAACTCTCAGCCTTTTGATCAACCCCCACAATTGGATCCTTTGAAACATTGAGCCATGGTTGAGTAGAAAATGGTGGAACTTGAGTCGAAAATGGTGGAACTTGAGTAAAAAATGGTGGAACTTGAGTAGAGAATTCCATACTATTAGAATTCATTTGAGGTCTAGGAAACATATTTGGATTGTTTGGTACCGATGGAATTTGAGATTTTTGAGGATTAGGATTTTGATAATTTTGCATGTAATTGAAGAAAGCTTGTTGATAATGAAAATGATTAGGATCCATTTGAGAATAAATTGTTGAAAAAAATAAAAAGTTCAGGAATAAAATGATGAAATTGTAAGAGAGAAATTTCAAATTGAAGAGTGTCGCTACTGCGAAAATCGGCGCCGGCTGAACAGAAGAGTCGCCACCGTGCGTTATTTATCCCACGGGAGGGAAAGGAAACGCTCAGAGTAAACCTCGCACAACACGGGAAAGGTATGGTCGTCGCAACCAAAACCTGGATTCGGGAGTCGGTTACGCAAGGGGAAGGTATTAGCACCCCTCACGTCCGTCGTACTCGACGGGATCCACGCTTGTTTTCGGGTATGGATTGTTATTCTATCTACTCTATAGGTCAAGGGTTAAAAAGAAAATAAAATGAAAATAAAAATGACTCGGCAAAGTATCGCACTTTATGCCTACGTATTCCCGTCTGGAACGAGAAATCAGAGTCAACGTAGTTCGCCTACCTACGGGAAAGGAGGGGAAGGTTGCTCGCTAGGATATCGCATCCTATGCCTACGTACTTCCACACAGCATGAAAGATCAGAGCAAACGTAGTTCGGGCCACGTACGACACAAGTCTGTTTTGACTGATTTTATTCCTTCTGAAAAAGGTTTTTCTGATTAACAGTCCAAGCGGACAAAAATGACGTTTTGATGAGTTCACATTCTTTTACGGAAGAAGTGTCTTTTATTGTGTTTGAAATCTTTATGTGTTTTTCTGTTTGTTTTGAGAAAGAAAGAGACAGAACTCTAACCTACGGTTGCGAAGGGAAACAAACTATCCTAATGTTATCATGCATGGGTTAAGACCTAGTGTCTATCATGCTCCTCTCTTGCACAGAGAGAAACAGAGATCCTACGGGATAGGCAGAAACAGAAACAATATCAGATATATACAGTAAAACAGAAAAATGCATGAATGCAGCAATACAAGCGAGGCAAGGGAGTCCCACTCAACCTCGAACCTAGAAAACAATAGGCGAAAGTGAACAGACTTCACTTTCAACCCAACAGGGTAAACAGCAAACAATACAGTCCAGAAAACCAATCAATACATCAGCAAATGAAATACAGCAAAAGAAACAGCATCAGCAGCTCTGAATCAACAACTGGCTTCAAGCAACCTCCAATAAGCTACAGGCTTCACCAAGCATCAATCTCCATCTTCATGGCCTTCAGACAAGGGCTTTGATCCTCAGTCTTCCATCTGCAATGGCTTTTCTTCAAGCTCAAACCTCCAGGATGAGGGATCAGTCACAAGAGTGAATTGGGTGTTAAGCAATCAGTTGACTACCAAGGGCGGTGAACAGACTGCTTCTAACACAAAGAGACATTTTCTCTCAAGAGTTCTATCTCACAGACACTATCACCAAGCCTTCCAAAGGAAGGGGGTGAGTGCCTTAGAGAGACTCTGAATCACAGAGAAGAATGGATGCAGACAAGGCAATCCATGTTTGAGAAACAATCTTTCTAATCTAGAGCTCTGCCTAGCTCCTAAACCCTAATCTCCTCAGCATCTGCTAGCAAGAAACTCATCCTCAACTCTGACAGTTGATCTTCAGTCTTTGAATCTCCAATAGCTTCATCTCCACAAATCTTCAGCTTCCCCAGGGCCCCAGACAAACCCAATACCCAATCAAACAATCAACAATCCCCAGAGGGCACACCACACCAGACAGCAGATATACAGATAGTAATAATATCAGTAGGGGAATCCTAATTGTTCTCTAAGGGATCTAATAGCTACCCATAGCCCATATAGTCCCATAACTAATCTACTCAAACCCTAAGTCCTAAGGGAGAAAATTGAACTTCCTAAGTTGTCACCTAAAACCCTAGTTTTGATCATGATATTCAAGTATTTATTAATCTCCTAAAATTAACCTCTAAAAATGGGAACTAAAATATTTCTACAAGCTTAACATCTCATCTAAACAATATGAAAAGAATGATCAAAAAATATTAAAGCATGTGAGAGAACAAAAATCATAAAAATAATGCATGAAATGTAACTATTTATTATGCTATTTATTTAGAAAATATGTAAAAAATATGAAATAAAACTAAAAATGAAATTTTATTTTCCTATAATGTTCTAGACATGTTAATGAGAATATGGTAAAAAGAATGGATTAAAAAGCATTTTTTATGAATTTATTATGGATTTTAGAAGATTGGTAAAATAATGAAATGAAATAAGAAAATAAAAAGAAATGAAATGAAGGAGGGGGTGAGAAAAGCAGAAAAGCACGTTCAAAGAATTGGGCCTGATAACATGGGGGGTGTGGATAGCGCTCTGAGCCCAACCCCCCAATTAGTGAAACGCCGCGTTTGGTCTTAGCTCAGCTTTCCCTCACAAACGAAGTTTAAACATCAGCCGTTGGATCCAAAGTCAGTCAACTGGTCAAAAGGTGATCTGAGGGTGAAAATATCATCTTCCTCCTTGGTTCAGGGCTTGGAGGGAACTCCATGGATGAACGCTCCACCTGCCTCAAACCCTAACTCCCTCGATTCTCCATGAAACGTCAACATATAAAAATCAAATCCGCTCCAAAACTTACCAGGAATCCAACCATGGTGTCACAACTAACTGAAATCTCCTCTAACCCTAAATCCGATAGCTACCTCCAAGAAAAGATCAAGAACTGATTCTCACTATCTTCAAAATTAAAGGCACAGGCATGTTCCTCTCTTCACCTAGATCATTTCCCCCTAAAGAACTAAGATTATCATTCAATATCGAGGGAGTTCTTGGTCCACACAGAAATGGCACCTCTAACAAAATCATCACCAAATCATCTCTAACTTTCCAGAAAGCTTCCCCTAATGATTTCTAACCGTTCTAACCTACTAATTCTAATCAATTCTACTTAGATTAAGGTGCACGAAGAAATTTACAAACCTGGTGAAATGAGATGCACAGATGGTAGAATTCTTCAAATCAATGCCTGAATTCCTCCAGAATCATTCAGTGATCCATCTTCTAGCTTCTGTATGCAAAAAGGAAGGTTGAAAAGCTCTGAATCTTGGAAATGGATCTGAAGCTGCAAGCTGCCAAACTCAAGGTACAGAACACGATTTGGCCTTGAATTCCCTCTGATTTTGATTGCCACACCTTCAATGATGATGATAGAACTGAACCAGATCAAGAAATTGAACAGAATGGAGAAGAAATGAGAAATTGGAGAATGACTTGCTATGGAGGAACTTGGATTTCAATCTCTCTTTCTGCAGCAATTCTCTCTAACCCTTGCATCTGAGCACACTCCAATCCATATATAGATGATGTTAGAATCATCTAGAACCAACTGGACTCTTCTTATGAGAAATTGAGTTTCTCATGTCATGACTTTTTCATTTCATGCTATGCATAGTTCATTCCAAGTTCTCCTTGTTACAGCCCATGATTATTAATTGAAAATCTCCCCAAATGGTATTTTGAACATGTTGAAAAGCCTTGCAAGCTTGTGTGTTAATCCCTTATGTGAGTTGGATATGTAACTTGAATTATAAGCAATCCATGGCAAGTCCCAAATTATGACCTCAAATCCAAAATCTAATAATGCCAATGATCACAAAATATGCTTTCTAGTCAAAATGATATGTCACTTGCCCCATTTTGATCATGTAGTATAAAATTCCCAAAAATGGACATTTCATGTATTAAATTTATGCCTTTTTTAGGTCATTTCTACAAGCATGAGTTACAAGCATTTCCAAACTTACATGGTCTTCTTTCTTGACTTAAAATCCCATTTGGAGCAAGTTTGATGTTGTAAGTTTTTCCATTTGAAGCCTCCTTGTATGAGTTTTGGGTATAGGTTAAAATGACCTGTAATTCACAAATGCCCAAAATACCCTT